ATACGTCCCACTGGGTTATATAAGGAATGGGATTCTCCAGTCTTTCGTTAAGGGCAGGGCTGGGCCCAGGCCCCAGAGCCTGTCGCTGTCACAGACCAGCCCCTACCTTCTCCGCCTGAGCCTCAAGAGACTTGAGGTTGTTGGTGACATTCTTCAGCTCCTCCTCCAGCTCAGAACACTTACTGTGAACATTTTACATACCGCAGGAGAGGGAAGGGGAAGAGGGAGAGAGTAAAAAAAAGGGGAGAGAGACACACAGACATGAATTGAACCCATGTGTAGAGAGAGCTGGAAGGCACACGGGGGGAGAGAGAAGGTCCCGGGCTCTCCGAGCAAGCATCAGCCCTCCCCCCTCCACCGTAGCCCGTGTCAGCCGGGCCCCGGTGGGCTGGGACCCAGTGTCTGGATACCAATTAGGAGGACAGCTGAGAGAAACCAGTGCCAGGAAGAAGTCATAACTGCTGCCTGGGGCGGAGGTGGGAACGGATGCCCCCCGCCAACGGCCCCCAAATCGCCCACGGGAAGGAGAGCAGTGGAGCAACTAGGAAAGGAGATGAGAGATGCCGAGAGGTGGGAAAGAATGGAGCATTCCGTGAGGTGAGAAAGCACTGGACGCGTCAACCAGTGGAGGGGAGGCGGCTGCAAAACAGAAACAAAACCACACCGTCCACGGAACCTCTCTGGGCTTAACGGTTAGTACCTTTTCCTCAGCAGCACTCAGACACTTCAGGTTCTGGTCCATCAGTCTGATCTGCTCATCCATCTCTCGGCAACGGCTGTTAGTGACAGTCACGGGGGTCGCACAAGCCAGGTTGCGGGGAGGGAGAAAGGTCAAAAGGGAACACAGCAAGAAAACAAGCAGCGGAATGGAAAAAAAAAATTTTTCACAAAATGGGAAGAAAACACCACCATGGTCGTGATATGTCATGTCTGGGACGGGGTGGGGGACGCGAGGGAAGCACAAACACATCAGCGCTTTGTCAGACAAGGCCCAGAAGGTGCCGGCGGCGGGCCAGCTCCCGGCTGCCCTCGCCCTCAAGCTGCCCAGCAGGTCGGCAGAGTGGTAAAAACAGACGACAGGTCTTAGGTCACGGGAGCCACTTCCGCCCTCGGAGGACCAGACCCCAGGTGTGAGGACCCGGCGGGGCCTTCGGGTCAACGGCTCACCTCTTATCGTTAGTCTTTCTTTTTCTCTCAACTTTCAAAACCCTGCCTACGAGATATGAGAAAACCCCATTTGTCACCTGTCACCAGTCAGGAGGGCTAAGAAAGGCCAAAGCCATTCACAGGGCCTAAAAAGGCGCTACAGATGACGCCCGCTCTCTGGGCCTTGTTTAACAAGGTTGAAGGAATGCCAGCTCACTCACATTAGTGCCCAAGCCAAAGGGGGAGGGACAGAGTGTGGCAAGACTCGGGGGCCGAGATACTCACGACTCTGCCAGCTCGGCTCGCTCCTCCGTGCGTTCCAAGTCCCCCTCGATGATCACCAGCTTGCGAGCCACCTACGGGGGAAGACCGGGTACGGCCCAGTGAGGCAAAGGAGCCACTTCCCTCTCGTGGTTCTTCTCAGAAGGCCATGTCACCAGTGACAGAGGGACGGGCGAAAGGTGTCTCACCTCTTCGTACTTCCTATCTGCCTCTTCTGCGATGTGCTTAGCTTCTTTGAGTTGGATTTCCTGGAGTTCCATTTTCTCTTCATCTTTTAAGGCTCGGTTTTCAATAACCTTCATACCTCTGTAAGAAACAATTAAGGACAAATGTGGCACTGACAATCGTCTGTCATCGGCTCCTCTCCAAGGGACCGGAATTGCACCGATAGAAGCCCATTCCTCTCCGCTCGCCAGCCAGAAAGATTCCCATCGCACCCCTATTCAATTTGTTTTGTTTAAAACTTCTTCCTGTAGAAATGACGTGCTTGTTAAGAAATTGATATTTAAAAGTAAGGTCTAAGGGCATCGAATGAAAAGTTAAGTCTCTCCACTTCCAGCCCTGCTCATCAGAGGAGATCTCTCCCCTCGTAATCCTTCCAGAAACATTTTCTGTAGATAAAGTGCAAAGAAGCGTCAGCCCCACGCCTTGACGGGACCACACGCACGGCTCTGCACCTGCTCCCTCGCTCTCTACAGTGTGGGCCCTGCTCTGCGACAGCGCGCTCGGGGCGGGTCCAAGTCTCACGGCCACGTCAGCGCGCTCCCAGGAGGGCGTTCTTAACTCTGAGAACCCTCCATCTGATCCCAGGCAAGTCGCCAGGCACCTCCATTCTAGGTTAACTCAGAAGGCACAGAACCAATCGGCTATTTTCAGCAACGATGAGCTGTGATTTGGTTCAGGGTCTGCGGTTCCCAGCTCTGGCACACGCTGAAATCTCACCAGAAGGACGACAGACACCCCGGAGCCCCTCTCACGATGGACTCTAACCGAGCTAGGGTGGGCTGCAGACATTCCCATCTTTCTAAAGCCCCGACGACCCCCGCCCCTCACTCCCATGATTCTAACAGTGCAGCCAGGGACGGGAGCCAGTCCCGCCGGGCTCCGCCTCCAGGGTTCCCGATCCACAGGGCAGGGCTGGGGCTGAGACTCGAAATCTCCGCCAGGTTCCCAGGTGCTGCCGGTCTGGGATCTCACTTAGGGAACCACCGCTTTAGGGGGACTCATCTCACAAGTTTATGATTCACTAAGTGGAAGCCCATCTGGCGATGTCATTTGCAGATTGTTAGATCCATTTACAGAGAAGCGCCAATTACAAAGGGGTCAGAGTCCCGGTAACGCTGTCTTCATCTGGAGACGAGGGGAAGGGGTGCTGTGAGGCAGGAGCTATCCTGAAAGGCACAAGGCATCACCCCCTCTACCCACCGCTCGCTCTCGTCCGCAGCCTTCTCAGCCTCCTCCAGCTTCTGCAGGGCGGTGGCCAGGCGCTCCTGGGCGCGGTCCAGCTCCTCTTCAACCAGCTGGATCCTACGGTTCAGGGACGCCACCTCGGCCTCAGCCTGCATTTGAAAGAGTGGACAAAGGAAGCAGACGCATGGCCGAGAGGAAGAGAACGAACTATGACGTAAGATGGGTTGACGAGCAGGGAGGAAGCCAGAGCCTGGCGGGGCAGAAGCGGTCTCGGCTCCGATGCACGTGAGATCCAGCAGACACGACTGTACACATGCACGCGTATCATTCCCCTGCGTCTCTCACCAGCAAATCCCCCTATGTTCCACAGGAAGAGTGTCTGAAAACTCGGCGTCTTGCCCAGCCCAGCGTCAGTTAGTGCCACCCCGTTTCTGGACTCGGTTCAAATTCCTGAACACACTGGTCGCCAGCGAAGGGCCCCTTCTGCTCCGGCTTAGGGCTGCGTCTCGCTCTTCAGCAACTTTCTTACAAGTGTCTCATAAAGCAAGTCGATAAGCAAGCAGTTCTGGAAAGAGGGAATCTTGGGTTGTCTACTGATTTGCTGTTTGACTCAAACTGTTGACCCTCCGGTCACCCCACCCTAATACACCAGGAGGATGACTAACCAAGAGAATGTTTTCCAGAATAATCGTCCAGACCAGAAAGCGAAAGGCGGGTACACTGGGATACCTACCCTACCCCCCACTGCAATTTGCCCCCGCCCCAAAGTTGACGACAAGGAGCCTCTCAGGCTAAAATCACCTGCTTTGATGAAATTACAAAAAGAACTCGGGGCAGAAGACAGTAGGTCTCTTCTGTGCCCACCACCGCGCCTCCAAATTTCCGAACTGCGACCCCTTTCTATTCCTCTAGTTAACCCCGTTAGCCTCGCGCTCCGGGACAGCTCAGGACACCTGCTGCCCTGCCCCCGCCCCACCACCAAGCGCAGGCTGAGGTGCAAGCACGCCGTGCCCCCTCCTTGATAATGGACGAGACTCGAGGCGAGGAGGCAGCGCACGTGGGACCCGCTGGTGGAAAAGCCCCCGCCGAGGACGGCCTCTCCCCCGCCGACCCACCGCCAGCCACGGAGTCTAACCAGCCCTGCGCTCTACCCGGCTGAGATGCTTATCCCAGAGCCTGGTAAACACGATATCTCCTCTGCAGTCCAGACGGTGCCTGAATGCCACTGCCCTGATTTCCTCCTGGCGTTGAGGAACAGGGGTGCGGGGGCGGCTGCAGAAATAATCCAGACCACTACCACTACCCCTCCTGGGGAGGGATACAGCCCATACGGTTATCTGGCTCAAAAATTTCCAAATACAAATATGGGAGGTTCAGGGGGCGGAGAATGGCTATAACCCCTGATCTACAGGAAAAGAAAATCGAGAAGTCTGAAATTACGAAGAAACCATTCGTGTCTCTAACTATACTGTTTAAAACGCCACGAAACAAGTAAATATTCTCCGGTCCCGTCTCTTGCAGGAAAGCAGATGTCCCCTAGGACAACACACATTTCTCCCCACAAATTCAAAAAGTCAAGGTTACAGGAACAAGTCAGGCTATCGGGCAGGAACTACGAAACACTGCCAGCGTGACTTATCTGACCCCCCTCTACCCTCAGACGCCCAGAACTAAAAATAAAGAATGGAACCAGATTTGGAGGAAAGTCATGAAATCTCAGTCCTCATCCAGCGAGCTCACCAGTAGTTACCCAAATGGAGGAGATAACAGGCTATGGGGGCGGGAGTGTAGAGTTTCCATGACAACAAGCTGGCTCGGGCGGTTTCTCCCACAAATCAGCATTTACAATAGAATTCTTCGCAAAGGCTGAAAAGGGGGGAGGAGAAACCCATCTTGGTGCCCTCAGAGGAGCATGCGCACGGTGCATTAACCGAGCTCATATCAAAAGCAGAACCCAAAACGGAAGTCCCAGCAAAAGCTTCTAGACCCCTGTGGGGGGAGGTCAGGAGGGCAGGCCCTGTTCTCTTTTCTCTCCTCCCGCAGAGGATCAGTTCTCTTTACCACGAAACGAAAGCTCTGCAGAATCGAGATCTGTTAGTACCTGTGGAGGGGCGAGGAAAGACACCTGACGTCTCCCTGGAACCAGAACCTCTGCAAAACGCTTGTCAACTGGGTCGGGCCAAGAGACCGAGTGGGACCGACTTCTGCAAACCCGCATGCAAAACAGGGCCTTGGGGGACATGGGGTTGTATGCTATTCTAATCACCCTAGATTTAGCGTATGTGGTTTTGATCTTTCTGCCCACCCGCCTCTGCCCAGCTTGGAGGGTATGCGCTGAGGTCCTTGCTTCAGGTAATAACAGGATTCTCCACTGCCCAGGAAGCAGAGATCCCAACGGGGGAGGGCAAACAGCAGCAATTCGGTCACATTGGAAGATGGCTGACGACAGCTTCAGCTGAGAAATGAGTTCGATCTAAAATACCACCATCCTCCATGATGGAGAGGTTCCCCAAGCACACCACACCCTCGAGGCAAGAAACTGACAGGGCACTGGTGCCAGGAGGAAGATCAGGGCCAAGGACAGAAGGGGATTAACCTAAATCTGGCTTTCTGCCACTCTGGGGTTTCTCTTTTTAGACAAAAGCCACAGATGAAATTCAAAGGAAATGAGTAATGGAAGTCAGGCTTGAGCCCTGTAAGTAGAGGACAGCTCAGTTCGCTGTGATCACAATGTATCAAGCCTGGGAGATACCGTGTCCTTGGGGACTTGAAATTTCACCAAAGGGGGAGGCAGGCTGGAAGGGTGTAGAGCTATCAGCCAGAGCAAACAAAGGTGGGGTCTGAGCCAGGCACTCAGAGCAAAGGGCTGTTTGCCTCTCCCTCGTGAGTGTGTGCTTTGGTGCGAAGGAAAGAAAGGTAATCAGCGGGAAAGCCAATTTAAGGCAAAGAAAGGTGACAAAGCCGTCGCTTAGTCCTCCAGACCCAGGTACAGGAGCCACGACAGTCCCACATCCTAACCCGCTCCAGAGACGAGGAATCCGGAATGAGGCCAGAATCGAAACTGCGGTTTGAAGTCCACTCACTCCCTCAATAGTATTTCTAAATGTTTTAGACCAGAAAAAGGAGACGAAGTACCAGGGGGAAGTTAGGGGAGAGGAAACGCAAACTACACGCTTAAAAGTGGTTAAAACGGTAATTTTTATGTTATGTGTATTTTTACCACCACCATCACAGCCAAAAACCAGATAAGGAAAAAGGCTGCGTTTAAACATTATGTTGCCTTCTGTTCAAATCTAGCAAGAAGTGCAAGGGAAGAATCAAAATCGAAAGCGGAATGGACAAGGTGCTACACTGTAAAAGGTCACGCTCCAGGCCACAGCAGGAAGGAAACAGGGACCCCAGGCTAATCCAGCCTCAGCTCTGGATTCACCCAGCTTCCAGCGAGGGTTAGATGTTCACACAAAGCGACCAGTGAAATAATCAAGTGACAACCCACTGACAGCACGTGTGCCATCAGGGAGAGCTGATCTCCCAGCGCCAGAGGGAGGAGCCTGCAAAACCCACATTCCAGAAGGTCCTAAGGGGCTAACAGGTAGCCCAGGCAACCCGCTTCTTTCCCACAGGTGTCTCTTCCTCCGGAGAGGTTCAAAGCGCAACGGAGCAGAAAGCCAAAAGATTAGGCTCGCTCAAGATGGGGAGCAGAAGACGCTCGTTTCATCAATACTTAACCATCGCCCTACTTCTCCATCTGAGGACTTCCTCAGCAGACCTCACCCAGTCAGCAAATGTGACAAACTCTGAGTGAAGGAGTAGTAAATAAAACATCTGAAGCCGCTCGCTCTGCTGCCCGTCACCCCAGAGTCACCAAGGGTGGAAAAAAAGGAGCCGGGTTCTCCTGGAAAGAAATGACCAAACCCTGGGGGGCTGGGCGTGGGGGGACGCGACATCACTCCATCTTAGAACTCTTCCTAGGATGCCCATGCTTGTGTGGTGGGCCTCTGACTCTTTAGCGCACATGTAGCTAGTTCCTTCAGCCCTCCTCTCTTCCCCTTTAAGGGGATCTGGTCACCAGAACAAAGGAGATGAGAAAGTGTCACTGGTCATAAAGAGTCACCCAGCCAGTCCATCTCACTTGAATTGATATTTAAAAGTCACTGGCATAAACAGAGGAAAAAGCCACTCAGAAAAAAGTGACTGAGGAAGACAAGCTCCCAGCATTTCCATGCCCAGAAAAAAAAAAAAACTAGTATTCTAACAATTTAAGTATTAACCTGGAGGGCTGCTGCCCCCACCTCCTTCCCCCTCAAAAACATGAATTCCCAGCCACTCCCCTGAGGAGCAGCCAAAGAAAGAAAGAAAAAAAAAAACTTACCAAGGGAAAGAACAACAGAGAATACCAATAAACCACAAGAGTTCTTTCAAATTTTAGCAACAGCTACTTGCCTCTCCAGCCTCAAACCCTCCTAAACCAAAGCCTCAGCCCAGGAGATCAGCTCCACCCAGCAGACTGCACCCGAGACCTTGGAAAACCGTGTGGCTCACTATTACTGGACCACTTCCGAACGGAAAGCGGTTTCGAGAATCACCATTCATCCCGCCAACATCTTATGTTCCAACTTTCCGCTGAATAGTTACTGAACTAAAAAAAAAATGACACTGGTGGGTCACGGGGAAAGCAGCAGAGACACGTTACTAGAGGCCCCCTGGGGAGTCACGACTCCTTCTCCATCGGCCACACTGCCTGGTCGGATCAGAAACCTCGACGGAAATCGGCACTCCAGACGATTCTCTGCCACACACGCCCGCTTATCAGCTCTGCTTGGGAGAAGTGTCCCTAACCGGTTCAGCTTGCCCTGATCGATCACACTTCAGCAATCAAGGCCTGGCTGTGGCAGAAGTTCCTGCCTTCCAGGTCCTCATGGGCCGGGCCAGACGTGTTTTGTTGGCTCCCACATCTGCACTAACGTGGGGACTGAAGCAGCATCCCCTCCTCTCTCGCTTCGCGTGGGTTGAGAGTGGGGTTTCGCAGTCGCAAGGGCTCCCCGTAAGAGGAAAGGGCCCCCGGCCGGAGGATGGGCCTCCACCTCCTCCAGGGAGGGCACCGCGCTTCCTCTCGGCCGACTGCTGCCTCATTTCCTGAGCAAGAGGAGGGAGCGGAAAGGCTGCCAGCAGCCGAGCTGGGGGCTTCCCGGCGGTACCCACCCGAGCCCCACCCTCTCACCCTCCGTCCGGCCCAGTACCTCCCAGGCCGAAGGAGCACCCACCTACTCTCATCCTTCGGGCCGGAAACCTCAAACCAGAGCCAAGTCCCCCCGCTTCACGGCAAAGTGGGGGAGGGAGAGGCCGCCGAGCCCCTCCCCCCGGCCGCGCCCGGCTCCCAGGGGCTGAATGAATGAGCCGGGGGAGGAGGAGAGCCACTCCCCGGGCCGCGCGGGGCTCGGCTTCCCCCGAGGTTGAGCCTG